ACCTTTCATGTCGGCTTCAGTCCGTCAAATGTGTCACCTTTCTTGTCGGCTTCAGTCCGTCAAATGTGACACCTTTCTTGTCGGCTTCAGTCCGTCAAATGTGACACCTTTCTTGTCGGCTTCAGTCCGTCAAATGTGTCACCTTTTTTGTCGGCTTCAGTCCGTCAAATGTGACACCTTACTTGTCGGCTTCAGTCCGTCAAATGTGACACCTTGCTTGTCGGCTTCAGTCCGTCAAATGTGACACCTTACTTGTCGGCTTCAGTCCGTCAAATGTGACACCTTACTTGTCGGCTTCAGTCCGTCAAATGTGACACCTTACTTGTCGGCTTCAGTCCGTCAAATGTGTCACCTTTTTTGTCGGCTTCAGTCCGTCAAATGTGTCACCTTTTTGTCGGCTTCAGTCCGTCAAATGTGACACCTTACTTGTCGGCTTCAGTCCGTCAAATGTGACACCTTACTTGTCGGCTTCAGTCCGTCAAATGTGACACCTTACTTGTCGGCTTCAGTCCGTCAAATGTGACACCTTACTTGTCGGCTTCAGTCCGTCAAATGTGACACCTTTCTTGTCGGCTTCAGTCCGTCAAATGTGTCACCTTTTTTGTCGGCTTCAGTCCGTCAAATGTGACACCTTTCTTGTCGGCTTCAGTCCGTCAAATGTGTCACCTTTTTTGTCGGCTTCAGTCCGTCAAATGTGTCACCTTTCATGTCGGCTTCAGTCCGTCAAATGTGTCACCTTTCTTGTCGGCTTCAGTCCGTCAAATGTGACACCTTTCTTGTCGGCTTCAGTCCGTCAAATGTGACACCTTTTTTGTCGGCTTCAGTCCGTCAAATGTGACACCTTACTTGTCGGCTTCAGTCCGTCAAATGTGTCACCTTTTTTGTCGGCTTCAGTCCGTCAAATGTGACACCTTACTTGTCGGCTTCAGTCCGTCAAATGTGACACCTTGCTTGTCGGCTTCAGTCCGTCAAATGTGACACCTTACTTGTCGGCTTCAGTCCGTCAAATGTGTCACCTTTTTTGTCGGCTTCAGTCCGTCAAATGTGACACCTTTCTTGTCGGCTTCAGTCCGTCAAATGTGACACTTTTCTTGTCGTTCAGTGACTTTCTGGGCCGTTTTTGGGGGGTCTAATTTGCTGAAAATTAATTACGGAGACAAAAGGTTGTCTTTGTCATGCTTGTCCTGTTATAAGGAAGCCATTCACACCAGCATGATATAAACTGTGTTGACGGTGAACTAAGCTGTGGTGCAGGGGCCAGATTCACGAAGCAGTTACGCAAGTACAGGGGCCAGATTCACGAAGCAGTTACGCAAGTACAGGGGCCAGATTCACGAAGCAGTTACGCAAGTACAGGGGCCAGATTCACGAAGCAGTTACGCAAGTACAGGGGCCAGATTCACGAAGCAGTTACGCAAGTACAGGGGCCAGATTCACGAAGCAGTTACGCAAGTACAGGGGCCAGATTCACGAAGCACTTACACAAGTACTGGGGCCAGATTCACGAAGCAGTTACGCAAGTACTGGGGCCAGATTCACGAAGCACTTACACAAGTACTGGGGCCAGATTCACGAAGCAGTTACGCAAACACTTACGAACGTGTCCATCTTTCCTCAATCTTTGACGGCTATGGTTACATTTATTAAACAGTTTACAAGCATGAAAACCTGTCAATCAACTGTTGTTATTGTTACAAACAGCCTCCTGGTGCTTCGGAGCTCATTAACTGTTTAATAATAGTAAACAAAGCCGCCAAAGATTGAGAAAAGATGTAAAGGTTCGTAAGTGCTTGCGTAACTGCTTCGTGAATCTGGCACCTGGTCACGTGTGTGCTGCCCCCCCCCCCCTTAAGTGCCACTTGAACCACAGGTACACACACCTGGGAGCGCACAGTAGCCACTTGAGGGCCAGGTCCAGGTGCTTCAACTTACCTCTCAAGCAGGGAACAGAGTTCCTGGAGTTATATAACTCCAGCTGAAGCTATTAAGAGCCCTTAAGTGCACTTGTGAGCGATCCGAGTGAAACAGTGAAGTCAGGCGTGACTTATAAGTGTCCAAGTACGCCAGTAGAGGGCGTGTGAAGCAGTCTTAGTGACCCTCAGACACCTCTTGTTAATATTGAATCAAAAACTGTGTATTATGCAGGCGAGGAGTCACAATAACGGGGCTAAAGTATGTTGACCAGACCACACTCTAGAAGGTGAAGGGACGACGACGTTTCGGTCCGTCCTGGACCATTCTCAAGACAATCGACTTGAGAATGGTCCAGGACGGACCGAAACGTCGTCGTTCCTTCACCTTCTAGTGTGTGTGGGTCTGGTCATCTCTGTATTATATTCTAGACATTACAAAAAAGACCTCGTAACTTCAAGTATGTAAAAATCACTGAAATATATTCAAGTAAACTTTTTTTCAAGAGCCTTGGGGGTGATGGTGAATTATTTCACCAGTGGTGAAAATTCAACATTTTTCTTTTTTTTTGCATCAATTAGTTTGGTCCTGTCAGTAGGGCTGTTCTGAGGGTGACTCAGGAAGGCTCTCAAGTGTCCTATTACACGTGTGTGTATAATTGTACATTAAGTGTGTTTTATACACTCGTCGCTAATATAAAAAACTGTTGCATATGTCATGATTAATATATATGTTTTTTATCTCAATCACCAAAACTCTTTCAGTCAATAGACTTTTTTAGTGACGTAATTAACAAATTAACACGAAGCACGATTGTAATTTAAATTTCGCAATTTAAATAGCAAGAAAGGGATATCCAGTTTCGTAAACTGGTATCACTTTCTTGATATCAAGACCAGTGTGATATCACGTACACCACACTGGTCCACAAACTACTAGGCTCAAACAGCACCTTAAATGATTTCATTTCCCACTGCCCAAGTCCGCTATCCTAGCCGAGCGATCATTGTCCAGCTCCCAGGCAATGATCGCTCGGATTTTACGCATTTTACGCTCGGGTGCATCGGATTTTACGCATTTGTTATTTTACGGATCTCTACATGGTTCAGTTGGTAGTGCTTGCGTCTGGGGAGTCCAATGATACGGGTTCGATCCCATTTTAATATCTCGGTATTACCTATATTCGAGGGAGCATCTCAAGCTTCAGGAATCAGGTGTTTTAATGGGAATGAATAAGTGACAAAAATTATATTTTCAGATTTCAATGTAAACAAATAATATTACGAGCATCGTGGATCACAAATTGTTTAAATTATGTGAGTCTGTGAGTATATAGGTCTGTGGGTCTGTGTACCAGTGGGTTTGTGTACCAGTGGGTCCTGTAGGCTCTGTGTACCTGTGGGTCCTGTGGGTGTCTGTTAACCTGTGGATCAGGTAATCTCGTACTGATCGACGTTGATCGCTGCGACGACTCTCAGTTTGACCATTTCTGGTTTAACTTTAGCATTTAGTCCAAGGACGGTCCACTGACTTGGCCAAGGAAGAATTAATTGATTGTGGCGGCTCGTGTCCGAGACACCTGAAGCTGGCAGACCTGTGGACATAGGCGCCATAGGGAGGGGAATATTGATAGTGGAAGGGATTGGCGGGCTGATTATAACGAGGTTGTTAATTAGAGTTGAATTTTAGAATGTTTGTCCACCACGTCCTAATTCTCGATCCTAATTGTTGTTTAAATTGTGTTTTAATACTCATTTTCACTTCATTTTTGCCAAGATACATGTCATTGCAGTAATGTTTATAATCAACTTGTTTTAGGGGGGGTTGGTGGGGGGAGATTAACATTACTTAAACACCTTAACATTACTTAAGGTGTTTAAGTAATGTTAATCAATTTTTATATTTGTCAAAAAGTGTGTGTGTGTGTGAGTGTGTGTGAGTGTGTGTGTGTGTGTGTGTGTGTGTGTGTGTGTGTGTGTGTGTGTGTGTGTGTGTGTGTGTGTGTGTGTGTGTGTGTGTGTGTGTGTGTGTGTGTGTGTGTGTGTGTGTGTGTGTGTGTGTGTGTGTGTGTGTGTGTGTGTGTGTGTGTGTGTGTGTGTGTGTGTGTGTGTGTGTGTGTGTGTGTGTGTGTGTGTGTGTGTGTGTGTGTGTGTGTGTGTGTGTGTGTGTGTGTGTGTGTGTGTGTGTGTGTGTGTGTGTGTGTGTGTGTGTGTGTGTGTGTGTGTGTGTGTGTGTGTGTGTGTGTGTGTGTGTGTGTGTGTGTGTGTGTGTGTGTGTGTGTGTGTGTGTGTGTGTGTGTGGGTGTGTGTGTGTGTGTGTGTGTGTGTGTGTGTGTGTGTGTGTGTGTGTGAGTGTGTGTGTGTGTGTGTGTGTGTGAGTGTGTGTGTGTGTGAGTGTGTGTGTGTGTGTGTGTGTGTGTGTGTGTGTGTGTGTGAGTGTGAGTGTGTGTGTGTGTGTGTGTGTGTGTGTGAGTGCGTGTGTGTGTGAGTGTGTGTGTGTGTGTGTGTGTGTGTGTGTGTGTGTGTGTGTGTGTGTGTGTGTGTGTGTGTGTGAGTGTGTGTGTGTGTGTGTGTGAGTGTGTGTGTGTGTGAGTGTGTGTGTGTGTGTGTGTGTGTGTGTGTGTGTGTGTGTGTGTGTGTGTGTGAGTGTGTGTGTGTGTGTGTGTGTGTGTGTGTGTGTGTGTGTGTGTGTGTGTGTGTGTGTGTGTGTGTGTGTGTGTGTGTGTGTGTGTGTGTGAGTGTGTGTGTGCTGGGTTTAAGCAGCACACAAAAATATAAATTATATTTGTATGCTATCATCTTTTTTGCTGCTGTTGTAGACAAAGAAAGTAATTGACTATTTCCAACATATTTATCTTTTTTGTATTTGTGTTGGTGGATAGTTTAGCAGGCTAGAGACACTTCTATTGGCTGTGAGGGCCTTGTGGCTTCCCTCAAGAGTAGTTACTTCTATTGGCTGTGAGGGCCTTGTGGCTTCCCTCAAGAGTAGTTATAACCTTAGTGATTAACTCCGCCAGAAACAATGCATATTAATTGCTTATTTTGTATACATTTTCTGTTGAATAATTTGTCCCCCCTTTGCGTCAACAGACGGGTCGGATCATCGGAGCTGTTGTAGCCAGCGTGAGGTACCAACGCCGTGCTTGGACTGGTGTCGCGGGGAGCCCGTGGCTTACCTTCACCTGTGTGAGCTCCAGTGGGCTCCTGTCATATTCTCCTGCTTCAATGAAGGCCAAGGTAGCTAGGTCATCACGCTCTCTATTGCATCCACATATTGCTCCAGTGTAAATAATTATCTTGATAATTTACATTTGTTTCTTGTTGTCAGGGACAGGAAGCCTGCATTTAGGCTTGTCAAGGTAGTCCAAAGGTCTCCCAAGGTAACCCCAAGGTCTCCCCCAGGTAACCCCAAGGTCTCCCAAGGTAACCCCAAGGTCTCCCCAGGTAACCCCAAGGTCTCCCCAGGTAACCCCAAGGCCTCCCCAGGTAACCCCAAGGTCTCCCCCAGTTAACTCCAAGGTCTCCCCCAGGTAACCCCACAACAGTTACCCAAGTCCCGGGTTTCTACGTTAGTGTTAGGTGAACAGAGGCATCAGGTAAAATGAAACGTACCCAACCATTTCCGTCTTGCCCGGGGATTGAACCCACTCTCGTCGGTTGTAAGCAGAGGACGAAGACCACTGTGCTAGGGGGAGCCTTAATATGTATAGACAATATGTGTATGTATTCTCCAGCGTATATCACTTAAAAGTTTAAATATAAATGGCTGTATTTACGTTAATTTATATCAGAATAATTCACGTATAAATCTCCTCTACAGATGGGTAATTATATCACAGTAATGTGATATATACATTAGAAATTATTGAGGCTGTGGGATGGGCTCGAACACACGTGCCTAAACTCCCCAGGCACTCACTACTGCACCATGGCTATACGAAGGGATCAAACCTGCGTCCGTGGACTCATCAGACACAAACTTGGACTGGACGGTAGAGCTACAGTCTCGCTTCATTGAGGTCGGCGTTCAATCCCCGACAGTCCAAAGTGGGTAGGCTCCATTCCTCCCCCTTCCCCCCCCCCCCCCCCCCGCCCCATGCTAAATCTTCACCTCCCTTCCAAGTGCTAAGTGTCTTAGAAAGTCTTAAGAAAGCTTAGTACTTTCTCCTGATAATTACTTCCGGCACACAAACTACCTGCTAGACCATAATGGGCATAATAAGTATCTCAACCAGGAGAGCTAATTGGTAGCGTATATGCCTGAGGAGTTCAAGGTACGCAGGTTCGATCCCATTGTACGGCCCCATTAATTTACCTTGCCCCCTGACGCGCCGCCACACTGCCTCCCTCACACTGACGGGACACCCTCCCAGTGTGACGATCACACTCTGGATATATTGACCGCGAGCTGCCTCTTGCTACCTTCCTCAGATCTCCTGCCGGGGCCGCCACTCAACGTCCACGTCCACTCCGAGGGCTCCACGGCTGCCAAGGTCACCTGGGAACCGCCGGTCAAGAACCCCGAAGCTGTTGAATTATACAGGTGGGTGTTTGTTGACCTTAACAAGACTCAGTGCAGTGTCGTGTATCCTTTAATTCGCTCTATACACTTAAACTAACAAAGAGAAGTGGTGGGAGAAGCAAATGCAGGCGAGGAGTCACAATAACGGGGCTGAAGTATGTTGACCAGACCACACATTAGAAGGTGAAGGGACGACGACGTTTCGGTCCGTCCTGGACCATTCTCAAGTCGACTTGATAACGGTCCAGGACGGACCGAAACGTCGTCGTGTCTTCACCTTCTAATGTGTGGTCTGGATATCTTAGAACTGTTTTCCTTGACTTGGTCATAAACCATGTTGTTAGTAATCTTGGAACAAGTCTGTGTACAAAATATCACCCGCTCGGCCACGCACAAACAATATTTTTCATACTGTGTATAACAAGTGAAAAGTTGGAGTGAATATATTATTCAGTCAGTATAAAAAAAAGGAACATAAATGAAAAAAAATTCAGAGATGTGTATTTCCTGTCGCGGTTTATACCAATAATCTATTTTATTGGTAGAAAACCTGTTTACTCAGGCCAATAAAGCATGACCAATGTTTTTACTAATTGCTATGAGAGTATAATAAAAAAAAATAGACATTGAATTTGTATGAGAGCAAAACCATTATACGAAAACCTATCCACACAAAAATACTTTTAAATGATACAAGAAACAATACGACACAGCATTTCACTATGCGGTTACCCATAGGATAATGGGAACCCCAGAAACGCAGGTTCGATCCCTTTGCATAGGCTCACTATTTCGCCATAGATGCTTCATGGTCGAGTATTACCGATTACATTTTAATCAACAGAGTATTCTGGCGTCCGATGGGCCAGCGGGCAGCCCTTAAGAACGACACGTCCATCACGGAGCTGATGATTGAGGGCCTTAAGTCCGACATCACCTACGAGATCGCTGTCAAGGCCGGCAACCACCGGGGCACGTCCATCCTCACCCCCACAGTCACCTTTACCAAACACCAAAGCTACGTCAGCTCTACCTCGACTCAAGGTATGACAGGATCTGACAGTGTCAGCTCCACCTCGACACAAGGTATGACAGGTTCTGACAGTGTCAGCACCTCGACTCAAGGTATGACAGGATCTGACAGTGTCAGCTGCACCTCGACTCAAGGTATGACAGGTTCTGACAGTGTCAGCACCTCGACTCAAGGTATGACAGGATCTGACAGTGTCAGCTCTACCTCGACTCAAGGTATGACAGGTTCTGACAGTGTCAGCTCCACCTCGACACAAGGTATGACAGGACCTGACAGTGTCAGCTCCACCTCGACACAAGGTATGACAGGATCTGACAGTGTCAGCTCCACCTCGACTCAAGGTATGACAGGTTCTGACAGTGTCAGCACCTCGACTCAAGGTATGACAGGTTCTGACAGTGTCAGCACCTCGACTCAAGGTATGACAGGTTCTGACAGTGTCAGCTCCACCTCGACTCAAGGTATGACAGGTTCTGACAGTGTCAGCTCCACCTCGACACAAGGTATGACAGGTTCTGACAGTGTCAGCACCTCGACACAAGGTATGACAGGTTCTGACAGTGTCAGCTCCACCTCGACTCAAGGTATGACAGGTTCTGACAGTGTCAGCTCCACCTCGACACAAGGTATGACAGGATCTGACAGTGTCAGCTCTACCTCGACTCAAGGTATGACAGGTTCTGACAGTGTCAGCTCCACCTCGACACAAGGTATGACAGGTTCTGACAGTGTCAGCTCCACCTCGACACAAGGTATGACAGGATCTGACAGTGTCAGCTGCACATATATTACAAATATTGTCAACTAGTACAGGTATGTATGTGTATAGTGTGTATATATATACATACTAGGGTGGGATTTACCCGGCATTGTCCGGGTCTGTCTCACATTTGTCCATGTATTTATCGATCCAACCTTCTATCCATCTATCTATTCATTTCCCCTTCCATCTACTTATCCATGTATTCATATATCCATTTACCCATCATCTATCCTATCTATCCATCCATCTTCTCCCCCGTGACCTCATCCCTCAAGCCTTGTCCATTCCCACCACCCGTCCTCCCTTCCCTCTCCCCCCCCTCCCTTTCTCAGAAAATGTATGGGGTTTCAGCCCCCCTTACCCTAATCCCCCCCTCCACCCATCCATCTCTCTCTTATACACTATTACTAATAGCATTATTTGCTTCCAAATGCCTCCCAACACCTCAAACCAATCCTATTTGCTGACGACACAACCTTCATTTACTCCAGTCCTGATCCCCTTGCTCTAAATGCCACAGTAAATACTGAGCTAAATAAAGTCCATCTGTGGCTAACTGCCAACAAACTCACCCTTAACATTGACAAAACTTTTTATATTCTGTTTGGCAATAAATCCTCTAATCAAATAAATCTCAAAATAAACAATACCCATATTTGTAACAAATTAGATGGCAAATTCCTTGGCATTCTCATTGACCACAAGCTGAATTTCCAGGGACACATTCTAAACATATCAAAAAAAGTTTCAAAAACTGTGGGCATTCTTTCTAAGATCAGATATTATGTACCACGCCCTGCCCTGGTGACTCTCTATTACTCCCTTATCTATCCATATCTCAACTATGGTATTTGTGCTTGGGGCTCTACTACCCAAAATCACTTACGTCCTCTAATTACTCAACACAAAGCTGCTATAAGGACAATATCCAATTCTGGCCCCAGACATCACTCGGTACCCCTACTCAAATCCCTGAATATGTTAGACATTAAGTCACTGCACATTCTCTCATGTGTACTATACATATATAAAATGCTAAACTGTAATGCCAATCCTGATCTCAAAAGCTTCATAGAAGGTTGTAACAGAACCCATGAGCACCACACCAGAAATAAATACAGTTTTGATATTCCTAGAGTACGACTTAATCAAACCAGAAATGCTCTACAAATCAAGGGGCCCAGAATGTGGAATGACCTTCCCAACCATATTAAAGACAGTACCTCTCTCAACCAGTTTAAGTTAAAAACGAAGCTATACCTAATAAATTCCCTGTAACCTACCTTACCCCTCTATTGTCAACCCATGTATGTTTTTGTTTTTTTCTTCAAATCAACGCTGTTTTAATGTAATTTTCTGTAATAATTTGTAATTGTATTTGTGCTGTTTTTTCAACAATGTTCCCCCCTCTTTTACCTCTATTTTTATTTGTACTCAACGCATTTTTTTCTTTTTACCCATTAGTTTTAAGCTTTAGTCAGTAGTGTTTTTTCCTGCCCGAAACGCTTTGCGTAATAGTGGCTTTAGGCATTGTATGTACTAGCTCTTATCTATAAAGCCAACAAACTTTGTAAAATCTCTTTATGTATGTACCTTTGCCTAAATAAAAATTATTATTATTATTATTATTATATATGAACAAGCGTCATCATTCCATTATAATATTAAATAACTCCCATTCATAATATAATAGTTCCCCCCTTTCGAATTTCAGAATATAATTCATATGTTTCATGGCCGTAGTTTAAGAAGCAGGAAATTTATATTAGTATAATTGTGTATATTTATATTAGAAAAAGAAATCTGGAATTTATTTCAAAATATTTAGTTGTGTAACCGGCGGGTAGTGACAAAACTGGTCGTGGGGGTCTGAATGTGACCCCGGCACGCTGTTCTCTCTTCACTTGTGGAGACCCTCAACCAGGCTGAAGGTAACCTTGCCCAACCTATGGTCAATCCCAGACCCCCGGATCATTAGTTCTGTCAATTTGGGCTAGGCCCAAGCGTCTGGCAGCCAAATTTGAACAAGGAGAGAGAGAGAGAGAGAGAGAGAGAGAGAGAGAGAGAGAGAGAGAGAGAGAGAGAGAGAGAGAGAGAGAGAGAGAGAGAGAGAGAGAAAGAGAGGGGGGATTCTCTTTTAAATGTATTGATATAATGTACACTGTATATTTACAAAGTCAACCTTTCATTACAGAACACTTTTTTTCAATATATCTCTGGTGAGTGTGGTGGTGGGGTTCATGTCTCTGTGGTGAGTGTGGTGGTGGGGTTCATGTCTCTGTGGTGAGTGTGGTGGTGGGGTTCATGTCTCTGTGGTGAGTGTGGTGGTGGGGTTCATGTCTCTGTGGTGAGTGTGGTGGTGGGGTTCATGTCTCTGTGGTGAGTGTGGTGGTGATGGTCATGTCTCTTTCTGTTGACTGTGATGGCTGTGGTAGTCATCATACCTCTGTGTTGACAGTGATCATTTTGATAGTGGCCATCTCTCTCTCTCTCTGGTGACTGCAGACGCGATCATATCTTCCTGTGAGGTGTGGCACAGTGCTGGTGTTTAACACAATATTATATCTCTTCCCCCACAGGAGCAACAGGAGTGGCAATGGCTGTGGTCACGATAGTGGTGATCGTGTTGGTGTGTGTCATAGTGGTTCTGGCTGTCTTCTGGGCCCGCAAGCGCAATCTCCTTGGAGGAAAGTCATCAAATAATGGTGGCATTTCCTTCGAGAATCCGTCGTATATTCGCGAGCAAAATGGTGACACAGTTCAGGTGGGTCTTCGAGGGGTACTTTTTGTGTAATTGTATGGGAATCTTTATATAGATGTGTTTTATGGTGATTCTCGGGAGGTTTGTGTTTTGTGTATACAAGGAGATTCATTCCGTGTTTATAGATTGCTTTCACGGAGTCTTGTGGCTTGTTATGTATGCCTCGGGCTGTTGACATTCGCTCCTCGTTTCCTCACACACACACACACACACACACACACACACACACACACACACACACACACACACACACACACACACACACACACACACACACACACACACACACACACACACACACACACACACACGCAGACACACACACACACACACGCAGACACACACACACACACACACACTCCCGCTTCCTCACACACACACACTCCCGCTTCCTCACACACACAGACACACACACTCCCGCTTCCTCACACACACAGACACACACACTCCCGCTTCCTCACACACACAGACACACACACTCCCGCTTCCTCACACACACAGACACACACACTCCCGCTTCCTCACACACACAGACACACACACTCCTCGCTTCTTCACACACTCAATCACTATGCCTCCTTCTTCCCGACCGTCTCCCAACCCAAAATTTGCCTTGAATACACACACCCAAATCCATTCGTTCAACATGGCCAAACCATCTCCATATGGATTTTTCAGTTTACCGACTTTTACACTCCACAACTCCGACGTTTTCATTCCTTACTCCGTAAGTTCTCCATACAGCAGACATGCTTTATTGTCTCTTATTACTTCACGTTCATGGCCCATAATTGTCTGACAGCAGCAGCAGGTTCGAGTCTGCACCACAGCTCCTTCATGCAGACTTGTGATTGCATCTATTGCTATCAATATATTTCCAACTAGACACGTTCCTTCCTTGAGTAAGCCTTGACCTAATTTATTTGTATAAATTCCCCTTTTATCAGAGTTCTCAGGTATTTACACTGGTCGACCAATCAGAGTTCCCAGGTAGTTACACTGGTCGACCAATCACAGTTCCCAGGTGAACAAATCCACAAGGGCCGTGACGAGGATTCGAACCTGCGTCCGGGAGCATCCCAGACGCTGCCTTAATCGACTGAGCTACGACATGGTTAAAAGGAATCCTCGTCACGGCCCTTGTGGATTTGTTCATTTGATGCATCACGTTATTGTGATCTCTGTGTGTGAGAGTTCACAGGTATTTTATAATTTACCATAATTGTGTATCTTGGGTGGAATTGTGACGAAAGTTCTAAGATTTTGTTAATGTTTTCCTCGTACAGATCGCTGAGACTCCTAATGGCAGTATGAACGGCAACATTACTTCAGGGATGAACGGCGGGATGAACGGTGGGATGAACGGTGGGATGAACGGCGGGATGAACGGCGGGATGAACGGAGGTATCAACGGAGGTATCAACGGAGGTATCAGCATGGGAATCTCACCTATCGACGTGAACGGTGGTGTCTGGAACACCCAAAATGTGTCGCCCTCCACCCCAGGATTCGAAGAGGACCTCCCAAGTAACGGTGGCTATAAGCGGTTCAGCAGCTAGTGACACCTCGTCCTCCACCCAGTGTAACACCTCACCCTCCACACAGTAACACCTCGTACTCTACCCAGTGTAACACCTCGTCCTCCACCCAGTAACACCTCGTCCTCCACACAGTGTAACACCTCACCCTCCACACAGTAACACCTCGTACTCTACCCAGTGTAACACCTCGTCCTCCACCCAGTAACACCTCGTCCTCCACACAGTGTAACACCTCACCCTCCACACAGTAACACCTCACCCTCCACACAGTAACACCTCACCCTCCACACAGTAACACCTCACCCTCCACACAATGACACCTCACCCTCCACACAGTAACACCTCACCCTCCACACAATGACACCTCACCCTCCACTCAGTAACACCTCACCCTCCACTCAGTAACACCTCACCCTCCACTCAGTAACACCTCACCCTCCACTCAGTAACACCTCACCCTCCACTCAGTAACACCTCACCCTCCACACAATGGCACCTCACCCTCCACCCAGCGACAACCCCAAGTTGGTCCATTTCTTGGAACCACAGTTTTAAATACGAATATATTTTGAGACTATTGATAGAGTAGTGTTCTGGTAATGAGATCAAGTTCTCTTACCTTCACATTCCAAACAGGAAGCCAGCGTCTTGTTATGAATCAGTGGCACTAGAATACTTCTCCCTCACTCTTGAACTGCTCACCGATTTAAAAGTAGTACATCGCTGTGTGTTATGCACTCAGGAGGTAATCGTAGAGTGGAAGCGAGAACAGTGGAGGCGTTGGTACACCATAGAAACTGGCGTGCCTAACAGGCAGAGATTGTCAACACAATCATCTCTGCCTGTGTGCATTGTAATGTGTGTGTGTGTATTACAAAACAGTAACATTAGCAAGGAACACAAAGACATATGCAATTATACGGGGGGATTGATGAGTTTATAGTCGTAACTAGTTATAATGTGGAGGAGCTGAGAGAGTGATGACTGTGGATGGTATTAAGAGTACCACAGAGGGAGTCTCGGTCCCTATCAAGGCACTCTCACCACAGCTGTACCACCACGCTAGTGACGGATCCGTCTTGACCACGGAGGGATCCGTCTTTAACACGGGGGATCCGTCTTGAACACGGGGGATCCATCTTGACCACGGAGGATCCATCTCGAACACGGGGGATCCATCTTGACCACGGAGGGATCCATCTTGACCACGGGGGATCCGTCTTGACCACGGAGGGATCCATCTTGAACACGGGGGATCCGTCTTGACCACGGAGGGATCCGTCTTGAACACGGGGGATCCGTCTTGACCACGGAGGATCCATCTTGAACACGGGGGATCCGTCTTGACCACGGAGGATCCATCTCGAACACGGGGGATCCATCTTGACCACGGGGGATCCGTCTTGACCACGGAGGGATCCATCTTGAACACGGGGGATCCGTCTTGACCACGGAGGGATCCATCTTGAACACGGGGGATCCGTCTTGACCACGGAGGGATCCGTCTTGAACACGGGGGATCCGTCTTGACCACGGAGGATCCATCTTCACCACGGGGGGACAGTCACTTTCGTTTGTGCTTGTTTCAAGTAAAAAATATGGTCAGGATGTATTATACAGGTGTCTGCTTCACCGCGTAATGGGCACAATGCGAGTTTGAAGATACCGTCGCATAAATGTGTAATTTGAATGCTCTCTTGTGTGCCTGTGTGTGTGTGTGTGAATGTTCAGTTTCAATTTCTATTTCAATAGGTCTGGGTACTGTGCGATATTTCACCGAGAATATAAATCCAGTTAAAAATCGACTCGACCGTGAAACAGGTAAAGCATGAAGTGCAGTCAACAGGTCCTCATAACTCAGACAGTGACAGGAACTGGAGCAAGAGGAGATGATTTGGTAGGAGATAACTACAGTATTAATAAAGTTGGTCGATTTTTAACTTGTGAGTGTCTTCCGCTACCCACTGAGACGCCTCATCTTCACACTAGACCAACAATACTTGACTCTACCAAACAACTCAAATCAGAAAGAAAAAAAAATTGAACTTAGATCATCAAATCGGGAGAAAATATGATAAAAGAATATTATTCTTTGGTTTATCCATTTTATTCATACTGTCCAAGTTCCGATTTGAGTTATTGGTTATCTTGGATACAAGATAACTAATAATGATAACTTTATGGGGGAAATACTAGTGATTCTGCTAGAAAATTTAAGTGAACTATAATGATGAAAATATAAAAAAACTTATAAAAAATACATACAAAAATAACTGTAATAGCTGTATATTTACGAATAGCTCTTGTGTTTTTAGCATAGATTCACGGTCTTTCTTCAAAAGAAAATGTAGTCTTTAATGGATGAAACATCACTGTTTTGTGTGAAGTTTGTGTGTCATCTGAGCTGAGGCCAGGAGGCTGACACCATGCCAGCCTCCGTAAGGCTGACACCATGCCAGCCTCCGTAAGGCTGACACCACAGCCAGCCTCCGGAAGGCTGACACCATGCCAGCCTCCGTAAGGCTGACACCATGCCAGCCTCCGTAAGGCTGACACCACAGCCAGCCTCCGTAAGGCTGACACCATGCCAGCCTCCGGAAGGCTGACACCAGAGCCAGCCTCCGTAAGGCTGACACCATGCCAGCCTCCGTAAGGCTGACACCATGCCAGCCTCCGTAAGGCTGACACCATGCCAGCCTCCGTAAGGCTGACACCATGCCAGCCTCCGTAAGGCTGACACCATGCCAGCCTCCGTAAGGCTGACACCACAGCCAGCCTCCGTAAGGCTGACACCAGAGCCAGCCTCCGTAAGGCTGACACCATGCCAGCCTCCGTAAGGCTGACACCATGCCAGCCTCCGTAAGGCTGACACCATGCCAGCCTCCGTAAGGCTGACACCAGAGCCAGCCTCCGTAAGGCTGACACCATGCCAGCCTCCGTAAGGCTGACACCAGAGCCAGCCTCCGTAAGGCTGACACCATGCCAGCCTCCGGAAGGCTGACACCAGAGATGACTCCAAAAGCCGTTTAGAGGAGACTAAGGAGACTAACTATAGCTAACGAGCAGTTTCACAGCATCTCTTTGCCAGTTTATTATAATCGTTCACCAATGGTAATTGTTTAGCGAGAACAAATGCTAGCGCACGTCATGCCAAGCGTTGAGTGGAAGATGCAGGGAAGCAAGATCATTTTTTTTATTAGCAATAATAACATATCATTCCATAATTGATCATATCATGATTGACACATCCATAGACGATAGTGGTACACATGTGAGCAGCAGCTCTTGTCGAGTAAAGCACATGTAATATTCCTGTTTTGCGATTGTATACGCATTGTATACATCGCCGCCTACGCAATGTATACTTCTTGGTTTTGTAAAACTTGTAAGTGTTGAGGTTGAAAATGGTCCAGGGTAAAGTACCAGCATCAAGTGAGCCAAGTAGGTACGGGGTGGGGGGGAGAATTCAGCAGATGTTAAATTGTCCAAATGATTAAAGTACCTTTCGAGTTAATTCTGCTTGGCGTAGTGTTGATAAACACAGAGATATGCAGAATAAGTTCACAAAATCAAATAATAGAATGAGTTTGGGTGGATAAAAATAGGAGCTGTCTTGTATAGGCCAATAGGAGCTGCCTGGAATGAGAGAATAGGAGCTGCCTCGTATGGACCAATAGGAGCTGCCTCGTATGGACCAATAGGAGCTGCCTGGAATGAGAGAATAGGAGCTGCCTCGTATGGACCAATAGGAGCTGCCTCGTATGGACCAATAGGCCTTCTATAGTTTCCTTTACCTTCTTGTTTTTACATGAAAACAAATGATATCTTTATTTAAAACTGCGACATGAAAGCATCAGTTAAAATCAATGTAAAAACTTTGTTTAATCTTTCTTGAGAGTGCACAGGTCAACTTGTTGACAACGACTGTCATTCAGAATATTTCATAGTTTCTTAAGCCAGCTTTTGTATTACTGGAATGAATTGTATTTCTTAGAATCATTACATTTTCATCAATTCATATTTTGTATTGAACTTTGACAACGTAGTACAAGTATTTATCCAGGCTGGATAAAGTGATGAACTGATTATGTTTCCAGCAAATGTTCATCATATTGGCAAGTGTTCACAACAGTATAGGGACCAATGTTCAGGGCGCTGGAGCCTGGGTCTGAAACCATCCTACTAACTATATGACAGGAGTCTGGAGTGATTTAATTAGCCTGGTCCTAAGATAGCGTCTAGAATCATTCTACCTGTTCAAGAGGTACAACAGACGAGAGGTTTAGTGAACCATCTCCCTGAGGATATAAACGGTACAACAGGCGAGAGGTTTAGTGAACCATCTCACTGAGGATATAAACGGTACAACAGACGAGAGGTTTAGTGAACCATCTCACTGAGGATATAAACGGTACAACAGACGAGAGGTTTAGTGAACCATCTCCCTGAGGACATACACGGTGACGAATGTTCTTAGCGAAGTTTAGATTGCTTGTAAAAGTATAGAAAAAATGAATAAGTTGGACAGGACGACCTGAGGAAATAGTAGGAGTGTGATAAAGGCCACGACAGTGAATTACCCCGAGAGGCAAGGTTTAGGGGGGTGACTAGGACAAGACTGCACACGAAAGGCAACAATAACCCCGTTGATCAAGGCAGGTTTGTGTTCGTTTTTATTGTGCTATGGAACTTTTTGTGGGCATTAGGGCTATTTTTCGGACATTTATAGCAGACAAAAATGAATTCGATATTTATATCCTACATTTGTGTTTCAAATGATTTAGTGAGTGTTGAGGATCCTGTATTTACTCGTGTTCAAGATAAGTCCAATTTATAATTTTGTTTAATTGGAGTTCCAATTTCCTGTTGCTGTCTATCTCGGGAATGATCTGGGACAATATCCACCAATTACCAATTATTTTTTTCGTAAAATAGATTCGCTAAATTGTGTCCATTTGAAATTATTCTTCTCAAAATATATTTTGTATAGCTTCCATTTATCACAAGGGACATATAGTATACCTTCATATATACTATTTTGTCCTCGTTAATATACATCGTTATACCGTCACCAAAAGCAAAAGACGTGTCACTTATCTTTACTATTTTCTAACAATTGCTGCTGGTGGAGTGAATCACAATAAACAAAGAATCATCATACGGTTTACAAGGCAATCAAAGAATTATGTTCTATCAACAAAATCATTGCTTAATCATTTTGATCATTTATTGTGTTCTGCGGGTCGAGGCAGGACAGATATGGTGTTCAGGTAGGCTGGAGGAGGGAAGATATGGTGTTCACTTGGTTCAGTCTGTGTAGATATGGTTGATGTCTGAATAGTTATAGAGAGAGGAGACACATTATAGAATTTGAACACAATGAATATATTCTTTTAAGTGAATTAAACGTCCGGAGGTTTCATTCATTATATATATATATATATATATATATATATATATATATATATATATATATATATATATATATATATATATATATATGTGTATATATAATATAGCAGCATTTCTTTCAAGTGGATAATCGGAGACTCGAACTCGGGCCTCAAAAGTAGGAGAACTGTTGTCGTACCAACTAGGCCATGGATGTGGGACAAGGATGACGGGGTGTAGACCCTCCAGATACTATAGTGGTGCTCCAGGGAAGGTAGTATAAGGTCTCTGTTGGGTTCCAGTTAGGTGTTTCTGAGAGCTTTCCTTAGTGTGAGCATCCATGGTGTGGTTGGTAGGACATCAGTCTAAACCATTTTTCATGGTCGACGTTTGAGACCCAAGTGAATGAAACGTTATCACCTACGGTGTTGGTGTTTGCATTTGATATTACAATATATTGAGAAGAGTATACGGAAAATGGAACACGTACTCTAAAGACAGCAACGGTAAACTAAACTGGAGTTAACTGATAGTGAACACTGAACATGCATGGAACACCTTCACTCACAATCAAAACAGATATTATGACCCGCTTAATAACTTTTGGAGATGTATATATATATAGATAGAGGTAAATATGTGATATTTTTATAACCTCTGATAAGAGATTTGATAGCATCAAGACACTGCTATTTTAGCATAGCTGGATATGATTGCGTTATGTTTATACATAGCACTGTAAATAAATAACAAAAATACAAGTAAAAAGTACATTTTTCTCTTTTATTATCCAGCTTGCAAGCTGCCAAATGTACTCCATTCTTGCACTGCAACAAGTGTCGTCACTTACAAGAATATAAGTATTACCAGTTGCTTGCACCATGGGGGCCGAGCCCCTTAAAAAGGGGGGCAATGGGGTCGACCCCGACCCCACCCATGACACGTCTATCTCTAGCATATATGTCACATAAGAACCATGACTCAACCTGGGCTCGAACTTCCGTGGCCCAAAATCACCACCTGGCTAATACATAGTACCGTAACCACTATACCAACGATCGATGGTGAAGTGGTTATGGTACTCTATATCCCGGGCTGCGAGAGTTCGAACCCTGCTCGGATCAAAGTTTCTAAGTGATTTATGGCTTGGGGACCACTCAAACTTTACATTATAATGCCCTCTTAAAATAAATCCTCAAAATCTATAATATGTAAGGGATGGTGGAAGACAATATGTGAGTGTACACGGATGCCCCCACAAGGCTGCCCCCAGATGCTACATGTTTTCTTCTTCGAGGCCGAGGGTCCCTACACATGCACCCAGAGGTGGTATCCCCTGTAAAGAGAGGAAATGCTCGCTGCATCCATGGTTCCTGTCCGCCATCTGAGGAGCAGCTGGAAGAACTCGACAACCTGTAAGTACTTTCGTATTTAATAATACATCTTCAGAAAAATGGATTTACAGTTCAGTGGGTGTGGGTATAGGCAGGAAAGAGGTGAGTGAATCCAAGTTTAGTGAGGCTAGCCTTAGACATCTGCTCTCCAACCTTAGCATTTCCTTCTCTGGACACAAATATACAGAAATTCTATCTTTTGTGATCCTTATCCAGATTTTTGGAACTCAAAAAGTTACCGAGAATCAGAGTGTCAACACAAGCGACACTCAGATAAAAAGATAAAGTAATTATCAAAAGGTCCCAAGCCAAGGAGACTATGTAGCAGATAAAAAATAAATAAGATAAATACCATGCAAAACATCACATTTGTCATACAAAAGGCTGAGAAATGTTGAGCATAAGAAGAAGAACAAAAATGGGGAAAAATGTGTGATAGGATGACAAGTGTGACACAAGTGTGACACAAGTGTGACAAATGTGACACAAGTGTGACACAAGTGTGACAAGTGTGACACAAGTGTGACAAATGTGACACAAGTGTGACACAAGTGTGACACAAGTGTGACACAAATGTGACACAAATGTGACACAAGTGTGACAAGTGTGACACAAGTGTGACAAATGTGACACAAGTGTGACAAATGTGACAAGTGTGACAGACAAATGTGACACAAGTGTGACACAAGTGTGACACAAATGTGACACAAATGTGACACAAGTGTGACACAAGTGTGACAAATGTGACACAAGTGTGACAAATGTGACACAAGTGTGACACAAGTGTGACAAATGTGACAAGTGTGACACAAGTGTGACAAATGTGACACAAGTGTGACACAAGTGTGACACAAGTGCGACACAAGTGTGATACAAGTGTGACACAAGTGTGACAGACAAGTGTGACACAAGTGTGACAAATGTGACACAAGTGTGACAAATGTGACAGACAAATGTGACAAGTGTGACGCAAGTGTGACAAATGTGACAAGTGTGACAAATGTGACACAAGTGTGACACAAGCGTCAAAACCTACAAGCATTTTTACAAATAATCTGATTTTCCCAACAAAACTTGAAAACTTAAATGATGAGACATACTAATATCGCCCCTTTATTAACACAATATATCCTTGTCTTATACTTTGGAAAATACAGTATGTTACATAATTGCTTTTACAGAAGCTTGCAATCATTAATCAGCTACACAGTTTGAGTTGCATAATGCAGGGAATTAACTTGATCTCCTTTGAACTGTCTAAACAACACTAATTGTTTTATTAATACGCTATCTCACGATTTATATAACTATCCATTGATATATATCATTTTCAATATACACTTCATTATCAATTTATATATTTCACGTGAAATAATTTGTTCAAACTCGTATTTAAAAAAAGAGCATAGTAATCAGTCTTTTTTTTTTACGGTACTTTTGTGAAATAGAAGTTAACTGCCTGGATAGCTTCCTAATTTTCACTCATTAGAAACCCCGGTAACTTTAACTCTCTCCCGACTTTCACTTGATGAGAGGGAAAACTTTCTTTCTTTCTAGCTTCGCTAATAACTTTTGTTACCCCTTTATATCCTATCAATTTTTAGGCTCTCAAAACAAAATTGTTTTACCGCAGTTATTAGTTGATTTTTCGTCCTCCACTAAGTATACATTGTATTTACATGCATAAATTTATATATATTCCCTCATCAAAACAACTTGAGCATCACTCAAAAACTGAAAAAAGTGGAAAAAATATATAAAATGCAATAAAAATTCTTATAATCCAGCAAATGCTGTATATTTAGAACGTAATTTAAAAAAAAAACTGTTTGTTGCTGTTCCTGAATTCAACTTTTTTTAAACCTGATTACAACAGAATATTTAGTCTTACAGGAATTTATTGTTAGACGAACGAAGATATTCTGTTTAATAACTTAATCTAAAGTATATCTGAACTAATTTGAATTTCGCACTCAGTACCTTAGGATAGATTGATGGATAAATACATAGATAGACGGGTGAATTATTATTATAATTGGTTAGATGGATAGAGAGATGCACAAATAGATAAATGGATAGATTTATAGATGGAATGACGGATAGATAGGTGACGGACCCGGGCAATCAATCCTCCCTCCCCAAATTTTTGTTTTATAAGACAGATAGACACAGTTGATGTATTGATGGATACATGGATTGAGGTGGGTGGATAGATGGAGTTACGGAAAGATGAGTAGTTTGATGGATACATAGATGGACAGACATAGATGAAGAGATCGACAAATGAATAGGATAATATATTGATAGATGGTTAAATGGATGAATAGATAGTTGAATAGATGGAGGGATAGGTGGGTGGATAGATGGATGGACGGATAAGTGTACAAATTGGATACACTGATACACCCCAGCAACGCCCCGCTCCCCCTCCCCCCCCCACTATTTCGGAAATTCCCCACAACATTACTAACTTCTAAAATAATATAGAGAAAAAATAATATTACTGCTGTTTAGTATTTACCTAAAATTAAAATAACATTTTAGTTATTCAAAGAAAACTGGATTTGTAGCAATTTCCTTTAGAAAACGGGAGATATATTTGCCAAAAATACAAATAATTAATCAATAAATACTTAATTCAACAATCTCAAGGACTGGAAGTAACAAATTACTATTCAATAAATTACTAGCTGTTAGTAACATTAGAATGAGCTTCTGCTGTCATTTATTAATAAACCGAAAGAGAACCATATGTAAGGCGGCGTACCCCAGGGAGGCGGCGCCAGTATGGCCTCAGCCGTCACAGAGAGCGCACGTGTGTATATTTTATCTGTGTCACTTGAAGCACATCTTTGGTATTAAAAATACTAAATAACCTAAATTGACGGACGGATTGTACTACGACAAGAACAAGAGGTAAGTGCTTACTTACCTGTCTATATATAGATTGTATTGGCCAATATATAAGACATTATAGGTTTAGATGGATAATGGTACATGATTTCCAGCCCAAAATGAGTTTAGTTTGATAATACTAGTAAACCCAGTCATTCATTTACCATATTTTAGTGGTTCATAGCTACCTGCTTACCTGGTTGATGGGGTTCTGGGAGTTCTTCTACTGCCCAAGCCCGGCCCGAGACCAGGCTTGACTTGTGAGAGTTTGGTCCACCAGGCTGTTGCTTGGAGCGGCCCGCAGGCCCACATACCCACCACGGCCCGGTTGGTCCGGCACTCCTTGGAGGAATAAATCTAGTTTCCTCTTGAAAATGTCCACGGTTGTTCCGGCAATATTTCTTATGCTCGCTGGGAGGACGTTGAACAACCGCGGACCTCTGATGTTTATACAGTGTTCTCTGATTGTGCCTATGGCACCTCTGCTCTTCACTGGTTCTATTCTGTATTTTCTTCCATATCGTTCACTCCAGTACGTTGTTATTTTACTGTGTAGATTTGGGACCTGGTCCTCCAGGTCCCAAATCTACCATTTTCTGGATAGAGCTCCAGAGGCTCCCTGGAGCTATTGGACTGATATTAGCTAATTTTTTTTTTTTTTTTTTTGAGATATATACAAGAGTTGTTACATTCTTGTAGAGCCACTAGTACGCGTAGCGTTTCGGGCAAGTCCTTAATCCTATGGTCCCTGGAATACGATCTCCTGCCGCGAAGAATCGTTTTTTCATCCAAGTACACATTTTACTGTTGCGTTAAACAGAGGCTACAGTTAAGGAATTGCGCCCAGTAAATCCTCCCCGGCCAGGATACGAACCCATGTATTAATATGGGGCTTCAGTCATACGGAGTTATCATGCCTCCCGGGGACCACTAACCAGAACATGATCCCCTCAGACAGGCGAAGGGGAATTAGTACTGTATTGTAGTTAGAAAAAAACATTGTATTCAGTACAAAATGCATTTGCATGCTAATATTTATACAGTGGTGTATAAGGCTGTAGCTAGAGTGTATGTGTTTGACAGGCGGCAGGCGGGGAAGACTGTAAATGAATTGTCATTATTAATATTATTACTATTGAGGTGCCTGTGACAGGCCCACTCACGTGGTCAGCACCGGGGTCATCATTAATGAGATTCACGAAGCAGTTACGCAAGCACTTACGAACGTGTCCATCTTTCCTCCGTGTTTGACGGCTTTGGTTACATTTGTTGAACAGTTTACAAGCACCAAAACTTGCCAATCAACTGTTGTTATTGTTATAAACAGCCTCCTGGTGCTTCGGAGCTCATTAACTGTTTAATAATTGTAAACAAAGCCGCCAAAGACTGAGGAAAGATGGACAGGTTCGTAAGTACTTGCGTAACTGCTTCGTGAATCTGGCCCCAGATAGATTTATAGATGGGCGTCTAAGGTTGTATCTTAG